AATGTGATTTGAAGGTCCATGGTAGAATTAGGCTTGAATTGGAAAAAATTGGAAATTTGGCGATTTTGGTCGGTAGTGGAAAATTCGATACCGGGGTCGGAATAGAATTCCGGAAGTTGGAGTGGGTTTGTAGTGTAATCTATGACGTGTGTGTAAAATTTGAGGTCATTCGGATATGGTTTGGTAGGTTTCGGCGTCGTATGCAGAATTTGGAAGTTTAGAAGTTCTTAGGCTTGAATTCGAGGGTAAATTGGTATTTTGATGTTGTTTTGAGTGGTCTGAAGGTTCGACTAAACTAGTATGTTGATACATGACTTGTTGGTATGATTGGTTGAGGCCTCGAGGGCCTCGAGTGTCTTTCGGGTGGTTAACGGATCAATTATTGGTGTTGGGAGATAGGTGGTTTTGCTGGTTTCTAAAGTTGCTGGTGCTTTCCGCACCTGCGGAAGGGGAGCCGCAGGTGCGTGGTCGCAGGCGTGCATAGGGAGTCCGAATGTGCGAACGGAATTGAGATAGGCTGGGTCTGCAGGTGCGTAGGAGAGATCGCATCTGCGAGCCCGCAAATGCGGATAGGTGCCCCCAAAAGCTGAAGTGAGGAGGTCAGGCAGTGGCCACAGGTGCGAGGTCTTTTACACACTTGCATAGTCGCAGATACGGATATGGAGTGCAGGTGCAGAGGTTCTTGTGCAGATGCCGCACCGCAGGTGCGCATATTTAGCAGCAGATGCGAAAGGCCTTGGCAGAAAGTATAAATAGAACACTTCGCGAAGTTTGGGTCATTTCCACCATTTTCAAGTCGGTTTTTGGAGCTTTAGGAGTGATTTTGAAGGGAGATTTAAGGATTTTCAGTTAGTTAAGTTGCTTGAGCTCTAATACTCCTATCTATGGTGTTTTCCCGTTGTTTTATCAATTAATTAGTGGAAATTAAGGATAAAAATGAGGGGTTAGGTCTTGGGATTTTGGAGAGTTTGATTTGAAGATTTAAGGGACCAAATTGAGTCGAATTTTTATAAATATCGTATATATGGACTCGTGAGTGAATGAGTTTTCTAGTTTTGTGACTTTTGTCGAATTTCGTGACATGGGCCTGGGGGCGGGTTTGAACCAATTTCAGGTTCTTGGTCTAATTTAGTAGTTTTCTTGTGGAATTCATTCCTTTAGATATATTGATGGTATTGTACTGGTTGTGAATAGATTCGGAGCATTTGGAGGCCGATTCGAGAGGCAAAGGCATTACATAGTAGGATTTTGATCGGTTTGAGGTAAGTGACGATTGTAAATTTGGTCCTGAGGGTATGAAACCCCGGATTTTTGTATTATTTGACTAATTAGAGGTGGCGCACATGCTAGGTGACGGGCGTTTGGGCGTGCACCGTTGGGGATTGTAACTTGGTCCATCCCATATCAATTGTAAAGTTGAATATTTTGTTGAAACTACATACTTCTTATGTGTTTTAGAAAGAATTTCTGCAAATCAGGCAGGATGACATGTTTAGGCCTTATGCTAGTATTGTTTGGACCCTTAAAGGTCCTTTCTTGCTATCTTCTTATTGTTTTCGATTGGAAATCTATACTCAATCATGTTTATATTTATCTACTACATAACTCAGTCTCTATTGCTCTATTTTGACGCATCATATAAATATTGTTTGGGTTGGATACTTTGTTTTTCTGAGAACCCGAGAGGCTGGAGAGGTTTATGACTTAGTGAGGCCGAGGTCCTGTTTTGTGAGGATATTTATGGGATCGGGCTGCACGCTGCAGTATGTTTGATATAGGCTGAGGGCCTCATTTATTTATGCCATGATTGGCTTGATATAGTGCTTGGACTGAAGGAGCCCCTCCGGAGTCTGTACACACCCCTAGTGAGCGCAGGTACCTACTGAGTACGAGTGCTGAATGACTAGGAGGCATGAGTGTTGGTGAGGTTTGCCCGAGGGGATGTATATGAGTGATGGTGAGGTTTGCCCGAGGGGCTATATATGAGTGATGTTTGCCCGAGGGACTGTATACGAGTGATGTTTGCCCGATGGGCTATTTATGATTTCATCATTTTTGCTCACCTTTGCATTGAGCCTTTGTTTGAAAACTATTGGAAGATGTTTTTAAATAATTTTACTGGAACTGGATTTTTAACAAGCTGATTTGATTCAAACTATGATTTTAAAAGCGTGCCATATTTTACTTAGTTTCTCTGATATGAACTTTACTTGCATTATTGCTCGTCACTACTTCTCAGTCTTTATTTACTGTTGTTACTTACTGAGTTGGCATACTCACGTTACTCCCTGCACCTTATGTGCAGATCCAGGCATTTCTGAATACGGTAGCAAGTGTTGATTATTCAGTTGTAGATCCATCAGAGTTAGCAAGGTAGCTGTCTGGTGATCGCAGCCCTCCTTTCCTCCCTCTTTATCTTCCCTTAGTTGTATTTAGTTGTTTCCAGACTATGTTAGTCTTGATATTGTCAGACGGTTGTAGTAGATGCTCATGATTAGTGACACCCCAATGTCGAGCTTTCTTTTCCGCACTTTTGTTTTGATTTAATTTAAACTCATTTATGAATATTTTATATTAAATAGCTTTGGAATTATTTTTGAAATGAGAATATCGATTTGTTTTGGTAATTTATCGGCTTGCCTAGTACCACGTTAGGCCCATCACGACCGGGTAGTTTTTGGATCATGATAAATAATAAGGGGGGGAAATGAGATGGAAAAAAAGATAAATAGGATTGTTTCATCCATATATGCAACAAAAATAATCTTTGTGATGAATAACTTGATTGTACCACACAAAAGAAAAGCAAGTAATATGTTCAAATAGGTCTATAAATTTTCACGGGCAACTCATTTTTTTTTAAACTCCATCTTCTTTTTAATTGGATACTCCTATAGTTTGGTCTGAGCAGTCATGATTTTCTTAATTATATTGCCGTATGTTAAAAATAACAAATATGACTCCTTATTATCTTCATTTAATTAAATTGAACCATAATCCGGGAAGATTAAATTCTAAATTAGCATGCAATCAGTGATGCAAGAAAATATTATTTGTATTATCAATTCATCAAAATATAGTTGGTCACCTTTTTCTAAACCTGCTTTCGTTCCTATTGTATGGACCAAAGTGGAGGCATACACCAATATGAAATATAACAATTATGTCCATTTCACAAAACAATATCTATTGCATTCTTTATTTATCAGGATTAAGCACTAACACAAAAACTAATCAAGGCTGGCAATTAGTCTCCAACTCTCCGTGGAATATATATAACAAATAGCTTGTAAAAATCAAGGTAAATCTATATTACCAAGATACAAGCTCTAAACCCCTCAAATGTAATTAAAAATAATAAACAGAAAAATTCACATGTGTTATGTTTTGTAATACAGGCTGACTATATATATTTTCAGTCTCCGTTGAACGTGAAAATGCATATAAGCTGAAAAGTTATATCAAAACTAAGGATACTTTCAATATAATAATAGAACCTACTAATGCTGCAAATACCAATTACAAACACTAACCAACTCTCAAAATAAACAATGTGAAGGATGTCGAACGGAAGAAAAATGAAGGAAAAAAAAGTTTCATGGAATCCTACTGTAACACAAAAATAGGGACAACCAATATATTTTCCAGGAGGTACAAGCCTGATTTTGATGTTGTGCAGGACCATCTTCTGCATTAATAATTGGAATAATGAAAGAGACTACTCCGCTTAGCAACACCATAAGCGTCTGAAGAGAATAATATCAGAATAGGCTTCTACCATTCAAATGATATATGCAAAACAAACTCAATTATAATAATATCTGTTCTTTTTTTGAAATACTAGAAATGTTCGAAAATTGCTTCCACCAAATTAAATAATTCTGTTCTCAATTTCTTTTTTTCCATGATTCCTTTACCAATGCAAAATGAGAGAAGAAAATCCAAAAAATTTCTTGGATGCTGTAAGCGGATGTAATTGCGATACTCCACAATCTAAAGAGTAGCTAAGAACACTTAATTCATGAATTTCAAGGATCATTGTCAATATAAACCAAAGATATAAAATAGAAAACAAAATTAGAGGGGATTAGTATTAGGTACGGGAAAAATTACCCCCCCCCCCCCCCCCC